CCTCCACAATCCGGGAACCTCAAACCCAATTCCACACGCGGCTGTTTGGTTGACGAGCCATGAAAACGCAGACGATGCACTGCCGTCCAAAATGATGACGAAAAAAAAAATTAAACACAACTACCCATACAACTGTGTGGAGGACACCCGCACACGCTGACACTCACTATCACACACACACCATGCACCCTACGTCGCCGACCGACCACGGATGGCGGCAGCGATCTCCATAAGCGCGTGGCACATCATCCTCTGCGTCTCATCGGATGCCGCGTAGTGCGCTTTCTGGACTGCAACTTCCTGCTCTAGTATGTCGCATTGCCTCGTGAATATGCTGCATTGCCGCTTGCTAGATGATTCGATCGTCGACGACATCAGTTCGCCATGGCGGTCCATGACATCAGCAATCGACTCCAACGCCTGTTGACGAGCATTCTTCCGCTTACCGCCTCCAGCCCCGCTGGCAGCGTTGTTGTCGGAGTCCCTCTTAGTAGAACGTTCTTTAGGGAGGCCTTCACCAGCGCCCTCACTACCAACAGACTCCCCAGCACCCGCTCCTCGCCTGGGCAGATGCACCCCGTCCGGACTTCCAGTGTCGGCGATGTTGGGAGGGAAAATTGTGTGGTTGCCAACCATGCCTATGTGGATCTCGTTGTATAGCGCCCTCTCCATCCGGAACTTGAAGTTGTGCTCCTTCCTTTCTTCATTCGATAGCCGGAAGAAATCTGGTCCGCCACTCGCATTCTGAAACCTCTGTATCTTCTTGTAGTTTTGGAAGATATTGTCCCACTTCTTCATGCAGTCGTTCGCGTCTTTCGGCCTCCCCGCGTTCGCCATGCGCTTGGCAATATCTTCCCACTTCCACTCCTTGGTCCGCATCCGCCCGTAATTGTGATCGAGACCGGCGAGGTGCATTTCTTGCTCTCGCTTGCATCTCACCAGTTGGATTTGCTCTTCCGGGGACCAGTACGTCGCAGACTTCCCGCCGTCATCGTTGGCGCCACCTCTGCCCCCACGGCCAGCGGATCGACCACGAACAGCACCCCTGCTCCGTCCTCTCCCCCTCCTGCCCGTCTTCCCCATAGGCCGAATAGGAATGTCGTCGTCGTCGTCCCCTGCCTCCACGTCTTCCCCAAATCGCCCGTCTGCATCGTCACCGCCACCACCATCGTCGTTGCCACCATCGCTGTGTGCCCGCATGTTCGACACTCCTCGTGTGATGTTCTCCACACTGGGTGTTGGACGCACCGCTGGTCTGCACTTGCCGTCGTCCCTGAGGTCGGGTTGGGTCGACGTTGTGCTTTTGGGCATCGAATGAAGTGTACCGCCGATGCGCAGGGACCCTACTGCGACTCCGTTGCGTTCGGGGCAGGTGCTTGTCAATCGATCGGCGGACGGTGCACTCGATCCATGCTGCCGGCCTGCTGACGATGGCTTGACACCGACACAAACGGACGTACCGCCACAAAGTGTGGACTGCTCTGTATGCCGACTTCCGGATTGTTGAATGTAACGCGGTGAAGGATCGACGTCGATGATGAACGTGTGGCTCGCCTCCCTACCGCCGCCAGAAGACAACCCGAATCGGAGATCAACTCCCCCGTCGTCGTCGTCTTCCAATCCCTGCTGCAGGAGTGTCGTGTACTCGCCGCGTCCGTTGCTTGCCGACCCGCCTGCGAGCACCGTCTGCGACAACAGCTGCGTCGACCCGCTGGCGAGAGGAAACGTTGGAAGTTCATCCCCCTCCGGCTCCTCATCCGAGGGAGGCAGCGGCGTCTCCCACGACGACAGATGGTTGTACATGGAGGGGTCGTACCGCCTTGAAGGCTCCGTCGTCGGAGGTCTTCTTCCGCCCTCAGCCGCAGGCGGAACAGCGTGTACCTGCATGCCCGCCATGGGCGGAACAACGCGTACCTGCACACCGCCTTTCGTTGACGCCCTGCGCTTGCAACGTTGCTTCCACGGCCGGCACGACAAGCACACGTGGAGGAAGACGACAAACAGGAAGACGACGACAACGAGAAGCAGCAGAGGCAATCTGCTCTGCATGTCTGCCATGAATTCGACGTCGACAGGTGGCCTTGCACATGACTTCGTGCTGAACTTTCTCCTCACAAGCCCGCGGACAAGGACGCTGGGCCTTCATATGCCGTCGACCGCCAGCGAAGACGACAAACGATTGTAGATTTGACAAAGAAACGGTCCGAAGTCGTCCCGACAACTGAGCAACGATTCCACGGGAAGACCATCCAGGCCCGGGCATTTGCCCAAGGCCATCTGTTTGGTGACCCTATGACGTTCTTCCACTGACAAGGGTGTGTCTAGCATTGTGTTTTTTTTTGTTTTTTTTTTTTTTTTTTTTTTTTTTTTTTTTTTTTTTTTTTTTTAATTACGGGCCCAGTGCCCAAGGCTGATATTACCAACGAAGGATATTTGAGGCCGGGGTCCTCACAGTCTACCCGGAGTACCCGAACCGAAAATGCCGAGAACCGGGCTCAGCGTCCCGCATGTATTGATGAAGATGATCATGATGGAAATGGTAGTGATTATGGATTCACAAAAGACTATGTTATGTGGGCTATTTGAGACTCCTAGACCTAAGGTGACTCCTAGCCATCCTTGCACCGGGACATACTTACTCAGAGACGAATACAAACCAAACCAACGTCACCCATAGTTGATCTTTTCTCGCCGCCCACCACCGAATAGCCTTCCTCCCTTGGCAAAACCCAGATCTCTCTACAAGACCTCACACTCCTGCAGATTTGCAGGTTACAGGGCGACGCCCCAGCTCCGATCAGCGTCGTTCTGGCATCGGCGGAAAAGGGACACAGAACAGAACAACTCTGCGGATATCAGTCCGGATGTGACCCCCTCTGAACTCCTATACCCTAGTTGTAAGGAAAGACTAAATGCTAGCAAAGATCCAGAACCAGAAAACTTTTTTTTTTTTTTTTTTTTTTTTTTTTGTAAGGAACTGCAAAGTTAAACAAAATCCAGAAAAAGACTCAGGAATCTACCAACAGTCCTCTTTACCTCACTCCGGCAAGACTTACTGCAACAAAGCCACCATCTCTACTGCTGCTATGCCTTAATTCCGTCCTACCAGCTAGCCCCTTCACTAGCAGGACGCGTGATACCTTTCTTTCTCTCACCTCGATCGATCCCTTTCCTACTCGTTACTCGAAAAAGGTACGGGAATAGACTGCAGAAGTTCTACAAAAGCCCCAAATCCCGCAAAATCCCTAACAAAAAACTTCCAAGGATCTCCAACACTGTCCTACTCCCTGCCGAGCTTTCCAGGCCTCACACCCCCCATCCTGCTGGGTTACAGGGCAACACAACTCACCCCAGCTCCGGCCAGCATCGTCCCAGCAACAACCCTCGGTTGTCCCGTGGAATGCCCCCCCAAAGCACCCCCAGATCTCTCTACTAGGCCTCATGCTCCTGCGTCAGCAGGTTACAGGGCAATACCCCAGCACCGACCAGCGTCATTCTGGCATCGAACAGCCTTAGGTCACCAAGTATTACAGCCTCGAAACCACCCAAAAGAAATTGCCAGGAAGCCCCAGGACAGAAAACATTTTTAAGACAATACAGACTACCCCCTTTTTTCAGAACAGGCTTTGACTAAGTAAAAATTCGTAATCGAAAACATATAAATAAACCTGGCGGGTCCTACGAATGCTCAAAAACCCGGGAAGTCCCTAACAACCCTTCCAAGGCATTCCAACACTGTCGTACTCCCTGCCGAGCTCTTCCAGGTCTCACACCCCACATCCTGCTAGGGTACAGGGCGACACAACTCACCCCAACTCCGACCAGCGTCGTCCCAGCAACAACCCTTAGCTGTCCCGTAGGATGCCCACCCCAAAGCATCCCCAGATCTCTCTACCAGGCCTCATGCTCCTACATCAACAGGTCACAAGGCAACACCCCAGCTCCGACCAGCGTCGTTCTGGCATCGAACAGCCACCGGTCCCTGAGTATACCAGCATCAAAAACCACCTAAGAAGAGTTGCTAAGAATCCTGAGGGCCCAAAAGCATTCTTAAGACCCCTGAACCGCCAATAGAAAGCAAAATTTTACTACACGAACTAAGGAGATTAAGACATAGAAACGTGGATAAAAAATGCTTCAGAATCTATTTGAGATGTGAATTTTAAGAAAAAAATTGGGGATCTATCGACCCCCACCTACAGAGCTTTTAATTTTCAAATCAGAATTTACGAAGTATCTGAGATGTCCATAACTGGACTCACGATTATGTAGAATCAAGAATTTTTCTAGGAAATGTCATGGGAATTTTCTTCAAGAGAATATTGTTGAAAATAGAATCGAGATAAAATTGAGGAGCTGTAATAAACGGATATTGACAACAACTATTTAGAAGCAAGTTTTTAGGACCAAATTCAGGAATCTCAATATCAAGGTTTAAAATCTAATTTGAGAATATCAATCATCAGACAAAACGCCGCGTAAAAAACGAATCAAGGATCGAAAAATGAAAACTCACGAGCTGCTAATCATCCGGTATCGCTGATACAAAACCAAAATCCTACCCGATGATCAACCAAGACAGAATGAGAATCAGACAATTAGATGTAACCGTATTCCAAGAATCAAAAGTATAGGCAGTTGAGATTATCCTGGAGTCATGCCCTCTTGAAAAACTGCAACCTCTACGATAGTTTTTTTTAAATACCAGCAGTGGAATTCGCCGAAGTCCATGCCCACCTTCCTCCCTTGAAGCACTGTTCCTCCATGAAGAAATCTGCAATCCCTCTGCCTCCCCTTCATCTACCCTCACTCAAACCCAACCCCATCACTTTCGGGAGGGAGAAACAACGAACTTCCTCCATCTGCCTGCCGTAACAGCCTCAAGGGCCCGCCATAGCGTCAAAAGCAAGCAAACGAAAGTATCAGTCGGCCATCCTCTCACTCTACAACATCCGGATGGTGCGGTAACATCTCGTTGAGCCCATCAACGAGCCACCGCAGGGGGTTCAAGCTTTCAACAGAATCATGAGTCTGCCCGAACCCTAACTTCACGTAGGCAGATGAAAGCAAACCAGAGGGAAATATTCTTCCTATGCAGCCGTTACCAGCCTCTCTTCATGTGGCGTCCTCATCGACAAACCATGCAGGAAGGGGAGGGAAGGAGACGTGCCTTTTAAAGAAGCCAGCCAAGCGATGTCAAATCTCCAAAACGAACGGGGCTACAATCGAAACGAGAACTCGCCACTGCCCACGAGATCGTTCCCACCTGTGACCACGCTCCTCCGATACAAGCCTAGCGCAACGCGCCCAACCGCTCCGCCCGAAAAAGAGGGAGAGAGAGAGGGAGAGAGAGAGAGAGAGGGAGAAAGGCGGTGTAACCTGATACACACACAATATCATAACGTCGTTCAAACCTCCGCTACTCCTCACACTCCTCTCCACGCCGTGCCACTTCTCACCATGTGAAAACCGATTCGCCACACTCCCGCCAACTTGTACAGGCATTGATCAAAACTTTGGATTTATCCCAAAAGATTGTGTCAATTGATAGGTCTGAATGAAATGTATCAAAAGGGCGTCTTGTTGTCACTATGTCCCTAAGTACTCCAGTGCATAGGAGCACATGTTGACTGTATCTGATGTGGTCGCAGCGTCGTTCTCTGATTAACAGTCTGGATTGCTTCAAAATTAATGATCGAAATGTTAATTTAGTCATCCTGTCGAAGCCCACTACTCCCCTAAGCTTCATCCACTTCAGCCACTCTGTTTGTTTTTGCAGATTCTAGGACTCAAGGTGGCACAGGGCCTGTTTTCTTTTTTCCCGCGAGAAGTAGTCTCCGAAGGGGTCTTGTCCCATTTGGGACTCTGCCTGTATTATTTCCTTTAAGCATTTCATTCCATTCAGTTTCTCTTTGCTGCTTTCATTCGAGAGAAGACAATCAGAGTTTCCCTTACAATGCCTAAACCCACTTTTGCCCACTGGTCTTCTGAATCAAACAAAACCTATGCAGCGGTCCATTCTGACATCTGGGAGCTTACCCAGTTCGTGATGCCCTTATCCTTTAAATTTGCCACATTCAACCTAAACGGTGGTCTGACTTTTAGGATAAACTCTTTAGCCACTATGTCTACCGCTATAGGACAGTGGCCTGAAAACAGATCCCCCCTTATGGCTATAAGGTCCAGCCTTCTGCGTGGTTGGGGAACGGTCTTCGAAGGTCTAGGACCGTACCAAGTGTATCCATGATCATCCGGGTTCATAACTCTATATGCATCTGTCAGGGATTGAGAATCCAACAAAGACATTAAGAGTATACTGTCTGTTCGCATTGCTGTGGGAGTAGGGGAATCTAGCCCTGGATTCAAGGTTGTATTCCAGTCACCTAACACCGCAAGATTTTGTACGTCTGGCAGACATGCTGGTAAATTAGCTAGAAAGGACACCCTCTCTGTATAAGTAGCAGGGACATACACAGTCATTACCGCCCATATCTCGGAATCCAGTTCTAACTTAACGCAAACTCATCAACGTTCCGCATCAACGAGGTTGAGTTCTCCAGTTGGAGGTTCTGTTGGATAATATTAGACATAATACAAGAATAGTGGGTTTGTGTAGCGGACCTCTGGTTGGCCTGTGAGACCACCTTGGCCTGTTCTCACAGGCCTGTGTTGTATTCGGGGTAGTCTTGTCCAGGCCAGTACCTCTGTCGGTACCAGCCAGTCCAGTCCAGTCCAGTCAGTCAGCTGGGGTATACCCCTGCCAGAGTCTGTACTTGGATTCATTCTGCATTCACACAGTTTTGGAGTACGTGCGTTGGAGTCTTGTGTGGGAGTTGCACTGTGCTATCTCGCTCCTCCCTCATCCTCCATCTCCATCATCATCCCAGGCGGAGCACCACCCCTGGTGGGTCCGCTACATTGGTATCAGAGCGGGATCG